AAGGGGTGCAGGCGGCGACGAGAAGGTCGCGGCGGCAAGGGGTGCAGGCGGCGACGAGAAGGTCGCGGCGGCGGGATGCGCAGGCGGCGACGCGAAGTCGCGGCGGCGGGTCGTGCAGGCGGCGACGCGAAGTCGCGGCGGCGGGTCGTGCAAGCGGCGACGCGAAGTCGCGGCGGCGGATCGTGCAGGCGGCGACGAGCGGGTCGCGGCGGCGGGATGCGTAGGCGGCGACGGGGGGTCGCGGCGATGGGGAGTGCAGGCGGCGACGCGAAGTCGCGGCGGCGGGACAGGAGGCGACGACGGGGCGTCGCGGCGGCGGGATGCGCAGGTGGCGCCGAGGAAGGCGCGGCGGCGGTGGGGGGAGGCGGCGACGCGACGTCGCGGCAGCGGGAGGGGCAGGCGACGACGGGGCGTCGCGGCGGAGGGATGCGCGGGCGACGCCGAAGTAGGCGCGGCGGCGGGAGGGAGACGGCGACGGGGGGTCGCGGCAGGGGGAGGAGGAGGCGGCGACGAGGCGTCGCGGTGGGATGTGCAGGCGGCGCCAGAGAAGGCGCGGCGGCGGAAAAAAAGCTGCAGCGACGGTGTGTCGCGGCGACGGGGGGCGGTGATGCACTCGCGGCGGTGGGATCCGCAGGCGAGGAGGGCGCAATCACGGCGGAGGGAGGGGAGGGCGGCGACGACGTAGGTCGTGCCAAGGAGATGCTAGGTTGAGCCACACGTAGGGGGTTTGTGGCTGTGGGGTGGGCCCATGGGGAAGAAAAAACTTTGAGGGAGGGAGAGAAAAGGCTTAGGAACAACTAGCTCTATACCATGTGAAGATTGTGAATTGAACAAGTAATTAGATTAGAGGAACAACCTAGCATACATAGTTGGAAGGGAAGGTTGGAAGGGAAGGATGAAAGTGACCATAGGTTGGGTTGACCTCACTTGGGGAAGTGAGGGAACCATAGGTCAAGTGGGTTGGGTTGCCCACACTTTGTAGAAGTGAGGCAACCCTAGGCCCACTTGGCTTGGGGTAACCTCAATTGTGGGAAGTGAGGTACCCACAAGTCAAGAGGGTTGCATTTGGGGGCTCCACCACAATTGGGTGGATTGGCACCCCAAAGTGCAAGACTACACCCAAAGTTGGGTGTAGTCCCAACCCAACTGTACACCACAATTGGTGTACAGTCACATGTGTTGGCATGCTACACAATATATATTTTAACAGGGTGTGCATTTGTAAGGGCTTCTGTGTGCATCAGTGTGCGGGGCAGAGCCTGGTGGCTCAGAGCCTGCCTGGAAAGGGAGTGGGGAAAGGACGTGTCGGGGAACGCTCTCCTGCTGGACGTGGGGCCGTGGCTGTCAGAACGTATCAAGATGAGAGAGTGTGGATGGGAGCCAATTTCATCTTACCCTCTCTCTCTTGCGCACCATCTCATACCCCTCTCCTTCCGTACAATGCCTGGCACCATCTCAGGAGCGCTTGAGTCAACTCAAAAGTCACCTCATACCCCTCTCGTGCACTGCGTGTCCCCATGTGTCCCCGTGTGGCCACATCCGCCCCCATTCGCCCCCATGTGCTCTCCCCATCAGGAGCACTTCAGTGCGGACAAGAAGAGCGAGATCAGCCTCAAGTACATCGGTGAGTGCCCTTGCTGCTACTGCTGCGGTGTTGCTGCTGCAGCCTTGCTGCTGCGGCCTTGCTGCTGCGGCCTTGCTGCCAGCCTTGTACTGTTGAGTCTGACTTTGCCCCCATCAGGAGCACTACAGTGCGGTCAAGAAGAGCGAGATCAGCCTCAAGTACATCGGTGAGTACCCTTGCTATCCGCCTTGTGTTGCTGAGTACGAGTGGGAAGGCCGCGAGGGGCGTATAGTTGATGCGCCTAAAAATGAGACAAGAAGAGCGAGATCAGCCTCAAGTACATCGGTGAGTGCCCTTGCTACTACTGCTGCGGTGTTGCTGCTGCAGCCTTGCTGCTGCGGCCTTGCTGCCAGCCTTGTACTGTTGAGCCTGACTGGGAAACCATCAGGAGCACTTCAGTGCGGACAAGAAGAGAGAGATCAGCCTCAATTACATCGGTGAGTGTTCCCCTGTGCTTTGAGAGTTAAAGTATGTACATATGTATATATTTATTATGTATATGTATATATTTAAAAACAAAAACAAACAAACGAGACCAGGCATAATGAGTGCTTCAAGAGCCTTGCTGAGCTTCTAATCTGGTTGTCGTTTGCACTCCCTCCCCCCCCCCCCCCCCTCAACCCCTTCCCCCACCAGACCCCACATACATGATCCGGGCTATCCCAGCCAACGCCGGTGACAACATCTACTGCACGCTGCTGGCACACGGGGCCATTCACGGCGCCTCAACTGCATTGCTCACCTCCTACTTTCACTGTTGTTTTCACTTCTTCCCGCTTTTACCCCCTCCTCCTCCCCTCACTCCATTCCCCAGACCCCACGTACATGATCCGTGCGATACCAGCCAACGCAGGTGATAACATCTACTGCACGCTGCTGGCACACGGTGCCATTCACGGCGCCATGGCTGGCTACTCGGGCTTCGTGGTGGGCCCGGTCAACGGCACACAGTGCTACATCCCTGTCAATGTACGTTTGTCGGATTCACGGTTTTGAATGCTTTCAGTTGTTACCCTCCACTCCACATATACGCTGCTGGCACACGGGGCCATTCACGGCGCCATGGCGGGCTTCTCGGGTTTCGTGGTGGGGCCGGTCAACGGCACACAGTGCTACATCCCCGTCAATGTACGTTCCTGGATTCATTAACTAGTCTGAATGCTCTAGAATGCTAACCTCCACACACCCATGCCTGCTGCTGGCTGGTTGTGGCTGGCTGGCTGGCTCTCGGGCTTTGTGGTGGGGCCAGTCAACGGCACTCAGTGCTACATCCCCGTCAATGTACGTTGCTGGATTCACCGTTCTGAATGCTCTAGAATGCTACCCTCCACACACCCATGCCTAGCTGGTTGTGGCTGGCTGGCTGGTTCTCGGGCTTCGTGGTGGGGCGGGCCTGTCTTTGGCACACAGTGCTACATCCCTGTCAATGTACGTGCCATGCTGTTTCCTCGGTTTCCTCGCTTATTTCCATGCCTCTACTATCCACTTCACCCCCATTCGTCCTGCAACTTTCTCCCCCACTTCCCCAAACCCCCTACCCCTTTCCCGCCGACCCTTCACCACCACTCTCCAAGTCGGTGGCCCTCACTCACATCCTTCTGTTTCTCACTCTTTTAACTCCCTCTGCCCGCTCCTTCTTCCCACTCTCCTTCCCCACACCCACAGCAAGTGACGGCCCCCAAGTCGGTGGCCCTCACTGATCGCATGTGGGCACGCCTCCTCTCCTCCACCTCCCAGCCCACCTTCATGCGCGTCAGCCAATCCGCTGCTGCCACGTCAGCACCCGGGGCAAATGCCGACGGTGTGCCGGCGATGCCTGACGAGGCACGGCCGGTGGACCATAATAAGCACGGGCATGGAGGGCACAATTTGACAAGAGCCTGGAGTAACCGCACGTGGGCTGCTGCCGCGAGGGATAAGACTGGAGACATGATGGAGCCTTAAGTATTTTATCTGAATGCATATACATGGTTTTAGCAATTATTATGCCATATCAGCTATGGGGTGTAACGGATGTCAGTCTATATGGTAGGAGCAACTTACAATCTTAGGTGATATACGGTTTATACTGTCCATGGAATCTGCATTATATCTTTAACGGGTACGTGTCTAAGCTAGGCGAGTGATCGAGAAAGCCGTGATGTGGCATCAGCCAATCCCACCGTGTCTCTTGCGTCACGCTGACTCTGATCTGACACCGTCGTTATGTGTCAAGATATTGCGCGACTGGCCACCGTGACGCGATCTCTGTTCTTGACGTAACCTGCACGGCTCAGATTCGCCGTCACTTCATTCTGGGCCCAGTGCCGCGGCGCAATGCTCATCCACTCATTGCACCTCATCAATTCTTACGTCAGAGCCTTTGCTAAAGGTTTGCACCGTATCAAAACTGAATTCACCGCACGTAGCCCTGTTGAAATCCCACCGTGTCAGCGTTTCCTCTTCGCAACACCTCCGCCTAACCGTCCTCTCTCTGACCCGCAAGCTCCTTACGAACTGGAGCTGCTTCCGATGCCTCCGCCGGAATCGTCTACCACCGCGCTGTAACGTATCGAAAAGTCTGGACCGATTTCATCTGCCATATTGTTGCATTCAAGCGGAACAGCCAGCCACTGGCTATATTCTAGTTTCTACGTCCCACCTGTTCTGATTCGCTTTCAGTCTGACTGCTTCCCGTGTGTCGTGAAGTGCCTTTTTCGGCGTCGTAGCTGTCGCCAGAATCCGACTTCGAACGAAATCCAAGTAATCCTTGCTCGACGCGAAGGAAATCAGAGACGCGTGTGACGCCTAAGAAACTGCTTATTTATTCTTGTTTCTTGTATCGTAAGCAGGTATTGCTTGTAGCACGATGCCGTCCAGTGCGATATCGTATATAACGAACTCCGCCAGTAACGGAGCATGCCGTTGCGCACTGGCGAAGCGCGCAGCACAGCACGCCTCGCCGATGCTCCCGACGCGAGTCACGCCAAGAAACCGATCAACCATCAGGGCCGCTTTTCCACCTGTTTTCGAGCCTCCGCAAAATCCGTCATTGTCTCTCGATCGCGCTTCGCATCGCTTCGGCTCGACTCCCTTAGCGCATTCAGCAGCGCTCACGCGAGAGAAACGGGCTAAACCAATAGTAGCAGGACACGTGCGTGGCGAGGAGTCAGGCACAACTCCCGCGTCCGCGACAACGTTGATCCCGCGATGGATTTCGGGACGTTCCAATCAATAAAAAATTCATATGCATTTGCAATTTAGCATACAGCACATGCTTTATCCGTATTATCCTACAGACATACGAGCAGCCAAATAATATTACAATGGGCATGGGGAAGAATAACGATAGGAAAACAAACGAGCAACCCAATACCGAGGACAAGCCTCGAGAAGCTTAGTTGGAAGCGGCGCTCTCAGGCATGGCACGGTGGTACGCTGCCATCGCGCAGTCCACACCGAGGACAGATGCAGCCTCGTACGCGCGGGGAGTTCCATCCAGGAATCCCGCGCCGAGCTCCCCGTCAGCAGAGACCGGGCGGTGGAGCGACGACACGAGCTGCTGGAAATCAATCGCACGGTCGACGTGGTCCTCCCTGTAAGTCTGACCCAGCACGCCGTGAACGTTCTCAGTGTAGTCGAAAGATGTAACGGCCACGTTGATGTGAACCTCGGCCTCGCTGGGGGTCTGGAGTTTCGGGTGAGCCACACGCAGGCGGATGTCGAACGATATGATACCGGCGATTGAAACGGTGTAGTAATCCACGTCGTACGGGCCCTGCTTCTCGTACGCACGGAGGGCGATCGTAAGGCCACCGTTACCGTTGAATTTCTCGCCGAGCAGCAGCCGTTGGATCACGGTTCCGTCGACCTCGATGGCCTTTATGTAACCAGCGCCGCGCTCCTGCTCCTTGCCGTTGCGGGCAACCAATCGGAGACGGTGGTCAGCACCGTTGGCGAACCACACGATACCGAGCTCCCTGAAATATCAGGCAAGAAAACGAAGTTTAGAAACTGGTTGCCCAACCGCTCCAGAAGAAACAAAAAAAAGGAGCGAACTAGATTCATGCAAAAGAGGCGAACGCGATGCTTACTTGATCCACGTGTGAACGGCCTTTCCGTCGACAACAAGGGCGGCGCCCTCGGTACGGTCGTCGAGGTATCCCCTCAGCAGCATGTTCACGTGCACGTTCGTATCCGTCAGCAGGCAGAACGCCTTGTCGGGACGGCCGTTGAAGTCGAAGTGCGTGCCGTGCGCGCCGGTGAAGTGCGGGTCGTCGATGACCTCGGGGTTGTCGTTGCACCTGCCGCCAGCGCGCACCTGCATGTACACAGGCTTGTCCTTGCCCTCGTAAATCGCTGCCAGGTCGCCGCATTCGAACTTCTGCTCGCCGGCCATCAGATCGCAAGTCCCCATCCTGCGCTCAAAAAAACATTTGAGGGAAAAGGAAAATTATACATCTGAGCAGAACAACAAAATCTCCAGCACGAAACAAATAGCATGTACGAGTTAAAACTAAAGGTAACATGCCGGATGCTTACTCTCTGCCGACACCGGGGACGAATTGCCAGTAGGTGCAGTCGTGGCTCGCGGCGCACTGGTTGCAGCACGACTCGGGGGTAGCCTTCTTCTTGGAGAACCCGCCGTTGGGCAGGATGGTCGCCCAGTGCTTCCCCTGCTTCGTGGTAATGATCGACGTCTTGAACTTGGCGGGCCAGCCGCCCTTGGAGCAGTTCACGGCGGTGCACCCGCCCCAGTCCTTTTTAGCCAGGTCGTTCGGGCACTGCTTCGCATTCCACGACGCGCCTTTGATCGTAACCTCGCCCGCGCTGAAGGTGCTGAATGAATCCGTGTTGCTCGTCAGATCGGCGCCCTTGGCGGAGGAAGCACCGACCTTCTTGGGTGCCGTCGTCACCGGCTTCTTCGATTCGCCTTTCTTCGATCCGCCTTTCTTGGAACCGCCCTTCTTCACGCCTCCTTTGACCGAGCCTCCTGTCTTCACGCCCACGCCTACTTTGACCTCGCCTCCTGCTTTGACGCCTCCTTTGATCTCGCCTCCTGCCTTCACGCCTCCTTTAACCGTGCCGCCCGTTTTGCCCTTGTTGCCCTTCTTGCTCAGCGTGCTCACCCTGCCCGCCTCTGCGCAGATGATAACGGCAAGGAACAGCAGCGCAAGGAACGCGACGCTAAGACGCGCCATGGCGGCGGGGATGCTGACGAGCGAAACTGGAGCGGAGAACTAACTCGGCTTCCTTCACTACTCTGAATCCTGTAAATTTCTCTGCTACAATCTACTTTTGACTGCTCCTCTCAAACTACTGAGGGTTGTGTGAACAGGGACTCCTAGCTTATGCTGCAGACCTGCTAGGTTTTGATTCAAAATCTGTTGGTAAAACTTGGTGGGTTGGTCTTGGTTTTGAAGAGGGATGTTGGCGTGTAGGTGTGGAGCCAAGCAGAGCTGCCATTGGTTGCAACATGCCCAAACATTTGTTGCCCGTATCAGAACATGGTGTCAGGTGGAAGTGGTGATACGGAGTGTAACAGCAGTCGCACATCCCTTCAGCCTGGCAAAGACTGACGCGCCGCAGAGAGCCAGCTTGGCCCCTGGTGGCCTTGTTGCAAGCTTGGACTTGGCGACATGAACAACTGTGCAGGTGAATTTGCAGCGACCGAATCCCTCGCAGGTTGACGATTGCGATTTTTTGCGGAGCGCATACAGGAATACCTGCGCCCCGATGCACCCGTGAGGTTATCGACACACATGCACGGACCAGTCCTGCACCTCCCTTTCCCCCAAAACTGTCTCCCTTCAAACTCCAACTAGGGTACTGCAGCAAAAAGAACGAACCGCAGGGAAAAAAATGTGCTCAACATTGACCCCAAAACAGTGGGGCATGGAATGGACCCAGATCTTCGTTTGAGCTACTCTTGATTCTGTATATTCTTAAAAAAAAAAAAAAACACTTCCCCTGGTAAGATGCTTGAAGGTTCATAAATGATGATGCGACCATAGTTGAATTGAATTATCTTTTGACATAATAATATCAAATGGGGCAATGACTGGCCTGCCATTGGATGGGGGAAATGGCAGCCTGCCATTCTTTAATTGCCCAGCGAAAAGGCCAGTGCTGTTACGAATAGTAATTATTGAAACACTACTGTGCACTCCTCACCACAGCAAGCGAAGCACGCACTACCGAGATTGAAGGCGAAAGGGCGCAAGTGATGCGAAGGGTCGCACGGTTACAAAAGCATCTGGACCGTCGGGCAGACAGCATCAGGCAGCAGCAGTGGCGATGATTCAACCCGGACAGTCTCGTAACTGTCTGGAGTCGCACGGTTGGATTTCGATGTAATAAGGGAATGTACCCCTTAGAGTACACGGCTAGCTAGGTCGATTGGTATTCCCTTGTAATCTTATTTATAGTGCTGTATTTGCATGTTTTTATCATCTCAGTCATTTTACATTTACTCTGCTATTGAGGTCACGGGCCCACCACCACTACTCAGTCGTGTGCGAACCTTCCTGAGGTGATACTAGGTACGATCAACTTCTGATCGCAACATGGTATGAGAGCGACTCAGGAATCCTTCGCACCGCCACCACCGAAATCTTCGGCGTACGAAAAGTGGCGTCCGGCACACGCGCACGCGTGAGAATGGCCGGAGGATCTGGTGGTCAGACAAATCTGGCGGCTGAAGCGCAGACCAACCCGGCTGCGACAAGCGAGGAAACGACGACGATTCCTTCCGCCGTTCTCGCACAACTGCTTCAGCGACTCACCAGCTTGGAGCAAGGACTCCAAACATTGCGGAAAGGCGACGCGGGAACATCTTGCCAACCCTCTCAACCGGCCTCGAACGGCCACAACACCACCCCGCATACCTTCTCCCTTGACACCAATGGCTCAACTCCCAAAACTCCCCGTCCCAGCGAAGAGGCAATTCTCTCTGCGCAATCAAGGTTTTTGAGTATATCAGAAATAAAGACAAGTGTGTGCTTTGACGGCAGAGACTTCTATACGTGGAGCTCCGAGCTGGAGCTGCTGCTGCAAAACGCGCAGATCTTCCATTATTTCGACGGGAGCTACTCGGGACCCGCTGAAGACACCGACGACGCAAAGGCGAGGTACTACAACGAGTCCCTGATGGCGTACGGAGTTCTTCTGCGAAACATGTCGCCGGCGGAGCAATTGAGCATTCGCTCATACAAGACAACGCCTGCTCCAGCCCTCGACGCTTGGCGCCACCTGAACGGCGTCTACCAACCGAAGGACTCGGTTTCGTCGAGCCGCCTACTCCAGCAGCTACTGGAGACAAGAATGGCACCAGGGGAGAAGGCCAACAGCTACATCAATCGCTGTCGGAGCTTACGAGATCAAATCGCGAAGTTGGGAAGCACGATCTCTGAGGAGATCTTCGTGAACATCGTGCTTCAAGGGCTCGGACCAGAGTGGCGGCCCTGCAAGGCGCTTCTCCGACAGCAGGGGGTCATCTCGGAGGCCGCCCTTTGCGCCGCCCTTCTCGTCGAACAACGGGATATGGACCAGCAGCGACCAGCGCCGCGACGAGACAGGGAACGCCTCGCCTTCTACGCCGACAACACGGAAGAGCGACGGCCGCGGCGCCTTTACTGCAAAATTTGCAGAAACTTCGGGCACCTGGCAGATCGATGCAAACATCGATCTCGCCCTCGTCAGACCAATCCGAGCAACTGGTCCGGACGACAAGACGCAAGGAACGACGCGCGTCCTGCCCAGGGGCATCAACCCCCACCGCGCAACCTGAATCCAACGATTCAGCATCAGCAGTAGCAGCCACCAACTGCTCCGGTTCGCAACGTCATGGGCAACATGACAATGACGAGCGGATCTCGTCGTCCCCGTGCGCGCTCACCATCACCGGAAGAAGCACGTCACCCAATCGGTGCGTTTTCGAACAACAACCCGTTCAGTGCGCGCCACGACTTCACCGACGACGACAACCAGGACTGGAATCTGCCAGTCCCGCTGCTTGAAAGCCCCCCGCACGTCCCTGATACGCGGCCGGCACCGATCGACTGGATCGCGCGCGAACAATTTCTAAAGGTTGACAGACCACACATCGTTACTCCGTGACTGGCGCTGCTCGCACGTAACGACAACAGGCGCTACAACACGTGGTACCTGGATAGCTGCTGTGGGCAGCACATGGTGGGCTCCGAGCGTTACATATCCAACGCCGTCGCCACCCGCGCCGTCACCTATGTCACCGTGGCGAACAACACGCGCCTGCGCGCAAGGCATCGTTGTGCTCAAGGCCCGCGGGAGCAGGACGCACATCACGTTGAATGGCGTGCTGATCGTGCAGAATCTGCGTTTCAATCTCCTCTCGGCGGCGCAGCTCATGGATTGCGGGGTCGACCTCAGCACCGACCCTGAGACACGTGACATTCTGCTTCACTACACAATGCCAGACAAATCGCGCAAGGAGATCGGGCGAGCGCACTCCGAAAACAGAGTCTACATCCTCAACTCCAGTATCCCCGACTGCAGCGGTGATTCGCAGGAGCTCATCGACCTTGTTCCTCTGCGTTTCGAACACATGCACCACCGTGACTGGAAGCATCCTGATGGGCGCCCATGGGTGCCGCATCACCCACACCTGCGCGAAACGGCGCTGCATGACCCCGAACTCGACGGCATCTGCAGAGATTGCCATACGCCCACAGCCTCGACGAGCGCGATCGCCGGCCGTGGCCTTGCCGCCATCGCCGAAGCAGAGCGGGAAGCACCGCCTGAAGAAGGGCTGTCTCACCTGGAGCTCGAGACAGCCACGCGCATCGTTTTCGGAATGGAGGAAGCTCCTCTCCCAGGACCTGCATCACAACACCTTCGCGGAATGCTGCGCGGCGTTGGCGTCGGAACCTTCGATGCGGAAGGAAATCCGCGACCCTACACGCAGGAGAAATTCCTGCAGATCTACGCTCATCAGCGCGACTCCACGAAAAAGCTCACCGTCGCCCAAGAGGAGGAACTGGCGCGCCGCGAAGCGGAAGAACTTCGCCAACGGAGCCTTGCGGAGTCACGCGGAACATTCGCATGGAGCGGATGGGGCGAAGAAGAGAGCGCCTCCAATGAAGGGGGGTGGGGAAGCGCTGGCGGATGGGGCACGAGCGACATTGGCGGCGACACCGGCGGATGGGGAGCCGCAACTGGCGGCACCACTGGCGGCTGGGGAGCAGACAACGGCGGCAACACCGGTGGATGGGGCGCCGCATCTGGCGGCGAAATGAGCGGTTGGGGAGCTTTCCGCGAGGACCAAAGGGGGGAAGGAGAAGAAATTGAGGAGGCCATTGAGGCCGAACCTCTTGTTGTTCCTCCTGGTCGCCCTCCGCGCCGCCCTGCACCCGCACTGCCCCCACCTGACATCCCGCCATGAAGTGACCCTTGGGACACCAACGACTGGGGGAACGAGCCGTCAACTCCGCGACGCACCGTCTACGGGCCTGCCCCCGAACCGCGCGTGTCAGAGGTCTACTGGTGATCCCCGATTGATCCTAGGGAAGGGTTACAGGCTCGTTGTCCTGGGGGGTTATGGGCGCACTGACCCGCTACTTAACAAGCCCTTTTATCCCAATGGTCTAGTGGTTGGGATTCTGACATGGTATCAGAGCGAAGGTCTCGGGTTCGAATCCCAGTGTGTGCACTTCGGGCATCCCAGTGCGGGGGGGTGTCAGAGGTCCACTGGTGATCCCCGATTGATCCTAGGGAAGGGTTACAGGCTCGTTGTCCTGGGGGGTTATGGGCGCACTGACCCGCTACTTAACAAGCCCTTTTATCCCAATGGTCTAGTGGTTGGGATTCTGACAGCGCGAACCAACATTCTTCCCGGGAACCATCCCTGGAACCAATATCCCCCTCTCTGTTATTCTTGACAGGGAATTCCTCGCGCTAATGTTAACGATGGCGAACGGAGAAGACGAAGCAGAAGAAGCAGCGCCGACACCTGCTCAAGCACCTGATGAGGATCCCGCAGAAGCACTCGCGCGCTACATGCGCACCTCCTGATTCCGCGCTGACGATGCCATCTGGCACCAGCGCCTAGGCCACCCCTCGCGAGTGACTCTGAAGAACTGCATCGAGGCCGGCGTATTCGCGCCTGGCGCACTCCTGCGCCCTGATGGCACCGAAGTAAGGGGCACGACACATCCGCGCAACT